TGTTCTTTTCTTGTGTCAGACTAGTTACAGATATAGAAGAGAAAACATAAAGGTTTTACAGTTTCAAAGCACAAAGGCTAATTCACTTATGTGAACAAATTTAAAGGCAGGCAGTCCCGAGCAGGTTAGAGGTCCCATAAAGTTACCAGGGACCCAGATTCTGCCTATCTTTCTGCTCCGCCATTCTTAGCATATGGCTTCCAATCTGAAGGTCACAAAATGGCTGCCTGAGCACCAGGCATTGCATTGAGGTTTTAGATATCATGAAATGTAATCGGCAGACGTATAAAAATATAGATCTAGCTGAATCAGTTCCCCTACTGGCATCTATCCAGAAGTTTCATGTACAGCATTTACTTCTTCTTGCCAAAATTTAGAACATGGTCATGCTTAGTTCACAGGGTTGGGAAATAATGGTCTCTTAAACACGTAGGCACTCGTAATAAAACTTCAATTCCAACTCTAGGAATGAATGGGGTGAAGAGATGGTAGACAACCAGCAATCTGTCATAATTCCCATTAAATACTGAGGGACGTGTGTTTATCAGTAGCAAGAGTCCTCAATGCATGACATTGGTTATATTTAATATTAAATATTACTATTTAATTAATATTTAGCATTAATAATCAATACCATATATCCTTAATGATTGTCATTTACATTTAACATATGTATTACACAGTGTATTTAATCATTAATAGTAATGCTAATTAAAATTGTAAATGCCTGAAAACTTGTCCTGTTTTTGATTTCCTGCATAATTTTTCAGTCTGAAATAAAAAGAAATAATCCTGACAGAATCTGCTCACCTAATACAAAAGACTGGTTCTGACGACTCCTTGGCCCCGCTGATGATATTTGAAGTCAGCTATAACCACAAAAATAGAACTTTTTAAATATGCGTGGTGATAAACTGGCTCAATAGGCAAAGATTACCTTAAGGCACCTGTTCGCCTAAAACGATCTCAGGATATTTGCTGTGGGAATATCAGAGATATTTAGTTGGTTCTGAAACAGCTGATAAATTTATTATATAGGCCTGATCAAAACTCACGTGATTTTGATAAACTGACTTTTCTCAACTATAAGTTAACAAAACAAATTTACTAAGCGCAGTGAAAATGGCATTTATTTAACACACTCATGACAGAGCCGTCGTTCCTAAGTCTCGCTGCAGGGCCTCTTGTGGGACACGTGTGCCTGTCCCGCTTGTGGCTGACCCCTTCTACCGCCAGTGACCAAGTCGCCCACCGGGAACGGGTCCAATGTGGTCCCGTACTGTGTCACAGAACACCTCCCTGTATACACTGGGGAGCACTGTTTCTGCTTCCACAGAAAGCCAGTTACCAGGTCCAGAGGATTCGGATTCAGAGGAGCTGGCGGGGGAGGCCCAGAGCTGCACCCCAGAGCCAGTGCAGAGGCCAAGGGCCTCACGAGGACAGGCCTTCCCAGGAGTGAGGGACAGTAGAAACAGCTGGGGTGGCGAACACAGCTCAGCGCTTTCGCCCTCGAAGCTTCCTATTCCATAGGACCCGGGAGTTGGAGTTTCTAACACGTTCCCAGCTGATGCTGCTGGGCCGGTAATCTCATTTTGGGAATCCGTGATTTGGAATCGGGGATAGGGGCTGAGGATGTAGCTAGTGGTAGAGCACAGGCCTTTAATTCAATCGTAGGAACAGCAAAAATAAATATTTTTACTCTGGATCTCCAGGATGAGAGATACAGTTCTGGGCGGTAGCATGTGTCTATAATTCAATTTCAGCACTCACTTGGGAGGCTGAGGCAGGAGGATTGCATATTGGAGCCTCCTCTAGACAATTGAGTGGTTTAGTGACACTGTCTTAAAATGAAAAACAAAAAATGTTGTATGTAACTCAGTGCAAAGGCCTTGAGCTCGAACCCCAGTACTCCCACATACACACACATAAAACTTCCGCAGTTGTGGGTATTCACTGCTGCACACTGACAAATGAAACAAATGTTAAAATCTTATGTATTCTCAGAGAAAAATACAGACCAGAGAAGGCCATACTTGCTTTTAGTTTAGTTTTGTTTTGTTTTGTTTTCACCCCTCTCTGAAATAAGGGAATAAATGACTTACTCTGTAGATGGGCTTATCGAAGGATATTTTATTCCTGTCCATCAAACCCTTGCTTTAAGAAGTGGAGATTATCTGCACAGAATGCCTATTATAAATGTACTTCACACACTTGAAAATGATTATGTCTTTGGTAGTAAGGATTGGGGTAATATATAAATTCTTTTTATCTATTATCTCAACATTTCAAGGCTTGAAAAATATTCTTTTCAAATAGGACAGGATTTTTATAACTAAAAGGATAGAATGTGCTAACAAAACATCCTCCACTGTAAAGCAGCTATTTTGAGCATTTTCCAAATAACATAGCGTCTGACATTTTCTACAAGTAAACACGTGCATAGTGATCAAGTTTTAAGAGGTGCTTTGAATAAAATCAGAAATAGTTATAAATTCAGTAAGATTAGAAAGTGCTTCATGAAGCTCACTTATAAAAATCACATAAATTTTCATCTCATTTGGTGCTCCCATGAAATTTTTTTCACATGAAATATTTGAATAAGAAAATAAGAAAAATAAGATTGTTTATTTCTCTAACTATAGATTTCAGTATAGAAAACAAATTCATCACCATTAACATACTAATTGCCAAATAACTCACAATCAATTTATATGAAATGTATATTTTATTAACAAATGAAATTTATAAACAGTCTGATGGAATTTTATAAATTTCATCAATCATACAATTGACATGTAATTGTGAGTCCAAACAGAAAATGACTTTGAACTGCCTAAGGAATTAATCCGCAGTTATAGTTCGTGAGATAAATTTTAATAATACTATAAAATATTTTAAATAGCCAAACTGCTTAATACAAATTTATTTCCCACTAATTTTTCTATTACTTCAGAACATCACCTTTGCTGGCAAAGAAATCTACCTGAGGACATTACATATGCTTTATACTCAGATATGGATTTTCTTTTCCATATTTAAGCAAATCAAAGAGAAATAGGAAGACAAATGCATATAACTTTTTGTTCAGCTAGTACTTTAAATTACTCATAGAACATTATACCTACATTCAGAAATATAACTTATGATACTGTATTTCCAAATTTGTAATATTTGTATTTTAAATTTCAAAAGTCATATCACTGTCAAAGGGACGTGTATACCAAACAATACAAATCACATCACCCTTCCCCATTACCTTACAATGGCCATAAAATTCGTACATTATGGACATCTTATAAAACCAAATCAGGCTTTTTAAAACTACATTTTTGTTTAGCTTCAATATCCAATTTCATATCAAGACTCATTTTCCTTAGAAACTGTGAGAATAAGGCTAGTCAAAAAAATGTACAAGAAAAAAAAATACTTGGTTTTTTAAATAGATAGCTAGTTAATAGGTTAAACAAAACAATTTAGTTTAGGTGGGAAATTTCCACATAATATATATTGTTATTCTGAATGGCTTTAAAGAGTTTGCCACAAATAACTAATAAAAGATTACTTAAATGCAGTTTCTTTCTAACTTAATAAAATATAATACTCATTAAAATAATTTTCTTACTCTCATGTTTGTTCACTTATCCAACTTCAACGAATGCTTGGTCACTGTGCCTGTAATAGGTTTTAATTTTTAAATTTATTCATATACATGCTAGACACTATTTCTGATTTTCCATTTTAAAAGAGTAATTACTAATGTAGATAGAGTATTAAATTCTAACATAGGCGTGAACTAAATTTTTGTCACATATAAAGTGTCAAGCCTTGTGTGTCAGAATTGCAGCTGATGCCTTCAGGGCTGACTGTACAAATGCTTGAGGTACAAGGTGAAAGGCACTGAGAGGGTGGGTCTGGGTTCACACTAGAGGCTAAATGGGTTTGCCGATGTATTTATATTTTTAAAGACTTACTAGTAAATCCTGTTGGACATATGAAATATTTGTACGGGAGGGTTGAGACAGGGTCTCATATGCAGTTCTGGCTGACCTTGAGCTTACTATGTAGCCCAGGCTGGCCTCAAACTCATGGCAATCATCCTGACTCAGCCTCCTGAGTGCCAGGATTAAAGGGCTGTGGCATCACACCTGGCTGAAACGTTTTTGTTTTTGTTTTTGTTTTTGTTTCTGTACTGGGGATCAAACTCAGACCTTTGTGCTCCGTAGGCAGGCAGCAGAACTACTAAGCCAAATCCTCGGCCCTGAAACATATTTTTGAGCCTAAGTCCACTCATGAGTATGAGAGTTGAAATTCTTTCATATAATCTTTGGCAAATCTCTGCAGTCCAAACTGCTGGTCTGTCTTTCCAACAGTCCCTGGAGCTGTAGGCACCAGCTAACACAATTACTTGGGCAGCAATCCAAGGACTAACCTCGGAAGGATCCTGGAAGAAGAAAGTATTTGGAGCACCTACTTGGAGGAGTAAAAGGTATAGTGAGAAATGAACTCATTTCCCAAACAAGGCTGCACTTAAGCATTCATAAACACCCTTCAGGCAGAGAGACAGCAATTCTCTGAAGCAAAAGAAAATAAGCCCAAGATCATAATTTCCCCAAAAACTTTAAAGAAAAATTTTAATTTGCACATCTAAAATGAAAATTCACTCAGAACAGCTTCCACAGTACCCAACTCTCCACACAGTCTTCATAGCACACAAGGTAGCATGAGTTTTCAAATACATAGAAGGTGCAAGAGCTCACATGGTTTAGTCCCGAAGGGGCCGAGCAGGACACACGAGCCTATACAACACAATGGCAGTGCAACTTTTACTTTAGAAAATACGGAAATTCTGAGACATGGAGAACCTGGGCAAGTCTCATAGTTACAATAATAAACACAGTTCCTGCAACGTGCAGAGTCGCATTAGCAGACGCTGCTATCCTTTTGCATTAAATAGCCTCCTACACATGCATTTGTAGATGTTACTGTCCTAGAAAGCACACTTATTTCTTTATACATGTCTTTGCTAACGTCCTAAATTTAGGCTCCAGGTGATCTAGAAACTCCAGGCCTTCTTCTTCCTGCCGATCGCTGCAGCAGCCCACTGAGCCGGCCACAGACCCTTTGCCTTCATAGTTATATGAACGAACGTAGTCTTCCGAATGTTTGTGCTCCTCATCTTGTCCACACAGATACACCTTCTGTATTGAGAGAGAGCACATTTTATTATTATTTTTTTAAAACACCTAAACAGATTAGCATAAAAATGATGTCTTGGATTTACCTTTTACTGTTTAATTTTTAATCAGAGTGTGTCCTCTAATGGATTCCTATATATAAAAAATGCACATGATTGGTCTGTATTATATTCATTCTTAAAATATAGCAAATAAATCAATGCCCCTAGTGAACACATTTATGAAAGTCAAGGCTATACATACACCACGTAATTCATTTACGAGCTCTCATTTGCACACAGGATGTGTATAGTTGAAATTTACCTCCATCAATTCTTCAAATATGTGCAGAATCATGGGAAATATAGGCTATAATGCTTGTTTATATACTACTATATACCTATAATAATGAAATATGTTAAATTGGCTAATATCAACCTACACTGGCTAACCTGAGCCAAAAAGCAAAACAAAAGCAAGAAAACACCAAAAGCAAAATGAGTAAATAAAACCCCAAATAAAAGTTTAATCTGTTAACTCGAGTAGTCAAGTCTTCATAACCACATAAAGCACTCAAGCACACTGGCAAGTGGTATGATTTATGATCTGTTCATTGCAACAAATATTTCATTGGAGATGATTTCTTTGTTAATTTTTAGGGAAGACGCTATCAATTTTTTCACCTCCCCAGACACATCCACGTATGCTACCCCTAGATAAAGTATGATAAACCATATTTTAAAGTCTGATGTTAAAAAGGTAACTAATTTTACTGTTTGACTTTGGAGTTGGTATCCACATCTATCACCACTCAGGATGGAGAGGATTGTGTGTTCCAGGTGCATGGGCAGTAGAATTTTGGGAAATGCTGACTGATAATGCTCCAATTCCGTGTGACCGAACTGAAAGACACTGGCACTTACTTCTCCAAGCCGAGGTTGGGTGAAGCTTTGCCACTCGGTGTAGGTATATCTGCCAGGGTCTGTCCCTCCCTTTGCGGACTCCAAGGTTTGATGGCCACCTCCTTTGCTGGAATCCAAAGTGTAGCCTCCTTTGGTCATTTCAAAACTTTGCTGTGTTTTAATTCCCTGGCCACCAAGAGTACCAACAGACATGCTTGTGTCACAGATGTTGGATGTCTGCATAGGAAGTCTAATATTTGCTTCCTATAAATAAAATTAAAGATAAAATGAATGCATCAGAATGAAGCTAACAATTCACTTTCTTCCCCACCAGAGGCAAATCACTTAGCTGCTGTGCTTCAACTCCCTGCATGTAAAATCAGGATAATACAGGAGACATACCATAAATGTTATGGGTTAAACTGTATCCCCTAAAAATTTATGCATTGACATCTCAACCCCAGTACCTTACGATGTGACCTTATTTAGAAACAAGGTCATCGTAGATACAGTTACTTAACTTAAGATGAAGTTATACTACATAAGGTGCCTGACCTAGTAGGACCAGTGTCCTTCCTCAGGGAAAGGAGAGATTTGAACACAGACACACAGGGAGAAGGTCATATGAAGATTCGACTTATGCTACTGTAAACTCAGGTGACAAGGTAGGAGAAAAACTTGGGACAAGTTCTTCCCTGGTGCCTCCAATTGGGAGACAGCCCTGCCAACACCTTTATCTCTGTGTTCTACTTTCAAAAACATGAGACAGTAAGTCTCCATTGTTTAACTTATTCAGTTTGGGACAGCAGTACCTTGAAACTAATGCAGGGAGATTGTGAGTTTTAAATAAATTCAAACATGCAACTTGGAATTCTGCTTGGCATAGTATGTGCTCAATAAATATCATAAGTTATTATTACCATTATTATATATTAATCAAACTAACATTATTTGGTTACGATACAATTCAAAGGGAATTGAAATCCAATTTACCGTTACTTCTTCTCCAGGTCCTTCAGTATTTGATACAATTAAATTTTGCTGGGCTACATCCTCTGGAAAACATTTCTTTACTGTTGTCTTGGTAGTAACACAAAAACATGTAAATATCATACCTAAAAAATAAAAAATTGAAGTAAATTTCTTCTCTTTTTGGTACATAATGAATAATTTGATAAATTTTTTAAAGATTCTCTATGACTTTTAAAAATTCATTTTATAAACTGAGATCATATCTGGTCATAAAACTTAAAACAGAATTTTTTTTCCCCCCTGGGTACCGGGGATTGAACTCAGGTCCTTGTGCTTGCAAGGCAGGCCACCGAACCACTGAGCTAAATCCCCGGCCCAAAACAGAATATTTTAAAAATACATTAGCTATTTAATCATTTCTGCCTTCCATTAATAATAATCCCCTTCCCAGGTTCAAAATTAACTTTTATCTATCCCTTACTTCCTTTACATAGAAATAGTAACTTCATTTGACTGAATCCTAAGAAAGTATTATTGATGTTTAAAATTATACATACTATATTTAAAAGGCTGAGAACAAGGCCAAGAACTTTAGACATAAATATAACTAGAAAGGCAACTAAACAACTTTCTAATTTTGAGAGCATTCAACTAATACACTGCTAACAGGAATATTCAGTTCAATTTGAACTTAAAACCAAAATGAATTAAGATACAGTTAAGACTAAGGAACAAGTCATAAATGTAATGGTTCTTTGTAGCTGAGAGATAGCTAAGTGTAAGGAATGTTTTTACTGCTTTTGCATCTCCAAAAAGCAGTTTTAAGAGTACAAAAATCATAAAGTCCTTTCCTTGCATTACCTTCTGCAATGGCTCATATTACGACCATTTGAACTCATTGGAGTTTTCTTACAGTGAAAACTGAATCCCTTTATTAACAATATGGAATACAAATGTCTAAACACATTTTATTTTTCCTTGTTGTTTTTGTTTGTTTTGGTTTGTTTGGTGGTGGAACCACTGAGCTAAATTCCTAGCCCTCTAACTACATTTTGCAGTACCCTGTTTTCACTAATGTTCTTTGTACGTATCTGTCCCCTAAGTAAACTTGGCTGCTTGAAAGGCCATACTATTTAATACGGGAAGGACTCAATAATTTTATCCAACATCTTCATTTTACACGTGAAAAAGTATGCTCAAGGAAGGAGAAATGATTTTTCCAATGTTTCACAGCTAATTATTAAAGAACTAAGGCTACTACCCCCTGCAACTTAATTTAAACATTTGAATGTGCCGTTACGAATATTTCTTCTATGACTCAAGACCCCAATTTATGAAGTAGGTATAAGACCTTTAAAAGGACACTTGTGCCAGAGGCTATACGTGTCATTAATATGAAGAACTGCCATATATTTTGTGCTCAACTGCCCATCATTCGGCAAGCATCCTTCCAAATGATGTGCTAATGTGTGAAAGGCTTGGACCCCATCTCTGTCAGGAGGGGACAGAACCTGTAGGAGGTGGAGCCCGTGGAAGAAGGTCCAGTCTCTGGGGATGCACTCTTCAAGGGGACACTGAGAACCCTTTCCCTTTTTGTCTTTTGTTTCTCAGTTTCCATGAAGCTAGTAGCTCTGAACTACCACATGCTTCCAGCCACAGACTGAGATCAACAGAGCCAATCAACACGATAAACTAAAGGTTTTATGATAAACGAAAGTAAGGTCAAAGCCAATCAACCATGGACAGAAACTTCTGAAACTATGAGCCAAACTAAACCTTTCCTCTTATAGATTGTTACGGAAGACATTTTGTTATGGTAACAGAAATCTGACTAAAGTAAAAATCAGTAAAACTTTAGTTAAGACATTGCAGATAATGATACTTACATAGTAACAATGCAGAACCCAAAATCATGGCAAGAATAGCCCACTTTCCAAGAATTACGTTTGAACTTGATACTTTAACATCTCTGTCGTCTTTCAAACTCATTCTACATTCAGATGGAGTTGTGCAGTCACATACTTTCACTGATAATACATGTTTTGCAGAAATACCGTGTCTGTCTTGTATTTGGATAGGCACAGAATAGTAGTTATTTTCCAGATGTCCTCTTCCACGAAGAATGGCACTTGTGCCTTGAAAAACAAAAGGCAGAGAGAATGTACAGTGACATGACTTTTCAGTAGCAACAGTATTTCTACTTGGTATTATCGGAAGGGAGTAATTGGAAATAAAAACATTAAGGGATCACTTTTCTTTCTTAAAAATTACTTTGATTTCTCATAGGACCAGAAAAAGTTAATATTATCTTATGCTCATATTAGGCTAATCGACATTTAACATGCTATATGGATAATTGTGTAAAATGGATCTATGTGTTCATAAAAGATAATTGAACATGAGTCTCTAAGTATAATATATATAGTGTATGTGTAATTTATATGTACAGAATTCATATATATAACATATATTTTTTTCTTAGGGTCCATAAAATAATTTCCTAAAATGAATGTGTATTTTTACAATAAACTAAACTAAGGTCAAAGACCATCAAACATCTTGAGCCACTGTTGATTAAAAGGTTTAGCATAATTTCTTACCATTCTTCTGATGTATAGTCCAAAGTTTGCTGGCAGAATTATCCAGAAAGAATTGAAAAGGCGGACCATTTTCAGGTCCATCTAGATCTACAGGTTCCAGAATTGCATAGTCTTGATTTTGCTGGCAAATGGTCACATCTTTATCAATTTGCGGTGCGTGATCATTATAATCTTCCAAAAAAACTACTAATGTTCCTGTGCAGGATCGGCCAACTAAGATAAATAAAACAATAAAAAAAATTATTTCTCTATTGGATATGTATTTGTTTCCAACACATATATATAATACACAACTGATATCTGCTTTCAAATAGCTTCCTACACCTCAGACATAGTTATAAAATAATGACCTGCCATTCTTTCCGGAAGACTCATGACTGGATCAGACATCTTTACAGGTGCTTTTTAACACTAAATCATGTAAGATTATGAGGAATGTAAATACAGAATAACCTTTGTACAACTGATTTCTTACATTCTTTATAAAAACATATATTTGTCCAAGGATTTAGTTCAGTGGCTCTGCGCCTGCCTTGCAAATGCAAGGTGCTGAGTTCAATCCCCAGTAGAAGAAGAAAAAGAAGAGGAAGAAGAGGAAGAGGAGGAAGAGGAGGAAGAGCATATATTCATCCTTAGTATAAAAGTACTTCATATTCATATTTGGTTATTAATTATCTTCTCAGCTTCTTTTTTTCCTCATATATCTTTTGCTCAAAATTCATAAAACTTGGGTCGGGGATTTAACTCAGTGGTTCTCCCACCTGCCTCACAAGTGCAAGGTCCCAGGTTTGATCCCCGATACCAAAAAACAAACAAAACAAACAAAATTTATAAAAATTTTCATCAAACCATCTAGGGACTTTCCTTCCTGTCTGTGTTGGTACATTCTGTTACCACTGCCAAGAATACTTTTGTTTTTGCCTGATAACACCTGCTTTATTTTAATTTTATTTTATTCCTAGGGCTTCGCACATGCCAAGCACGTATTCTACAACTGAGCTACTTCCACAGAACAACCCTATCATCCTCATGAAACTGTGACTTCTGCAGAGAACGGGAGTCCCATTCTCCTTTGTTTTCTCAGAATCATTTGCTCCTACTTTAGCTGCATACTGAACGTGTAAAAAGGTAAGACATACAGGGGTGCCTAGGTTCAAGAACTTAATTCATTCCACGATTCCGGAAAAGATGGCCACGTTTGTTTTTATACAGGAAAGACGGCCACTGTCTTGTTTCTCACCATGCAGAGTTCACAAACAAAAAAAAAATTTTGCTGAATGCTTGTTTGGGAATCAAATTGCAAACAAAAGCATTTATGAACCAACATACCACTGAATTCACCTGAGGAGCCTAATGTTTCTTGACTAATTGAAAATTAATGCTACTCAGTTGAACATAATGCAGTTACTCTTTTTATGCTGTAAAAAGATGTAAATGAATAAGTCATAAAAATGAGTTTGTACCCTGACCCTAATTCAATTAATATGGTTATTGTTAACAGGAACTGTCTTACTCATATGTTGATTACCACTACTATTTGCCTAATGCTGAACACATAAATCTCAAGCAATACTTTAAATTAAAGTATAGCCTATAATTTGTACTTTAGAAATAATGAAGTTAAGAAACATCTTTAAATTCTACCATTTGTGAAAGGATAATAAACTTCCATGAATGGTATGATTTCAAAATTGAAACAAACAAAAGTATTGTAATTTCTCATTTTCTTACATTCATACTAGCCTAAAATTTTGAAATAAGTATGCTGAACTTATCATAAATACTACAATCTTATGCAAATATAATCTCTTTCTTTCCTTAGTTTGGGATGCAGGTGGTGAAACCACTGAGCTAAATATTACCCAGCCCTTTCTTTTCTTAGTTTGAAAGAACCCCTAAATCATAGTATGTAATATAGTTTAGAGATTTTTCTCTGTTAAATAATATTAATTTATGCAAGTGGTTTTTAAACTACTTATATAAAATTTACCTATATAAAATACTGTGTATATATATATATATAGTATATTTATATAGAATATAAATATAAGCAGGCTTCAAAATATCCAGTGAAGAGACATATTGAAAGAATAGTTCAAGAGACACATTAAAAGAAACCTATAAGGACAAAAACCTTCAATATTTTCAGACTTACAGAAAAATGTAAATAAACCTGAATACAAGTAAAAACTTCAAAATCAGCAAACCAACAGAGAAATGAATGATATAGAAAGAAGCCTTTCAATTTGGTTATTTTTGCTTGTTGTTTTGTTTTGTTCTAGATAGGGCCTCACTAAGTTGCCCAGGCTGGGCTCAAACTCGTGACCCTCTGTCTTTAGCTTCCTAGGTAGATCACAGGCATGAGCCACCACATCTAGTAAGAAGCCTTTCTTAAAATAAAAAAATGTTGTTACAAACACTACATATGAGCTGACGTGTGTTCTGTAATTTTAACTTTTAAATGTAAGCAGATGATCTTTCTCGATGGAAAAAGTAGAAAGAAATCACACTTTAAACATCTAAATAATATATGACAAATGTAGGAAAGCAAAGATTCACTTCATCTTGTATTCAACTAACATTTCCCACATAAAAATATTTTCTATCATAACTTCTGTTCTAAGCTGGCTGATTAAAACAGAATGAAAGATGCTTGAAATTATTACAATAGATATCAGTCAAAGCCAGGCCTGAAAAGAAAGTCTTAGATTTCCAAAACTATAAAGAGCTCAAGGTAACATTTCACCAGAACTGAAATTAATTACTGATAAGGGCTGAACATCATGAAAAAGTAACTAGATATATTTGTCTACTTCAAAAGTTATTTTAAAATGAAGTACAGAAGCAAATGACAAGTATGGATGAGTAGCAAATGTCACAGTCACAGAGCTGGTAGGTTGATAGGGGCTCAATAACTCCAATTTAATGACACTTAAACAAAGGACAATTTTTTAAAATGTTAATTCTCCATTGCTATTTAAATGTTTTCAGAAACCAAAAGCTCACTACATTATGAATCAAGTCTACTGTGTGATTAAAACTTTTAGGTGCTTTCTTTCTTTTTTGGGGGGTGCTGGGGATTGAACATGGGTCCTTGCACTTGCAAGACAGGCAGTGGAACCACTGAGCTAAATCCCTGGCCCAGGTGCTTTCTCCTTAAGCTACAATATGCATCCCTCCTATTAATTTCCAGCAGTGTGTTCGTGTTCATTTTAGATTTTACACACAAAATGTTTACCACTTCCACATTACAGCCCTGCAGTATTTGTTATTTTAAGAAAGTTCCTTTTCTAGAAGCCCAAACTAAGAGACTATTTTGCAATTTCTGAGCTCAGTTTTCTGCATTGACAGCATTTGTTCCAAATACTACCATGATACTCCCTGAATTAGTGAACTTTATAACCTGGAGACAGGACTCTCAATGAGTGCAGGAATGATAACACTCAGTATCTGCATTAAAGAAATATATGCCAAACTCTCTAGAGGCTTCTTAAAGGATTGGTTTAATCAAAAACAAAGGGTGCTTGTACGAAATTGATCTTAAAAGCTGGTTAGAAGAATAGAATACACACTAGAACAGGTAAAGTACCCTTCTAGAGCACTTCAGAGTATGCTAGTCACCCCTCTAGCACATTTTTCCCGGTGCAAGAGTGATTAAAAGGCTTTAAGGATGGGCCAAAGACTAGTAGGAATAATCGCAGAAGTCGTCATTGCCATTCATTTGAACATTTTAAAGAACTCGATTTCAAACAGAAAAGGCTATGATAATCTATGTGGAAGGCATATAAAATAAAATAGTGCAGTAGAGAGGCTTTTGTTTTATGAAAGCAGAAAAAAGTAAGATTATAATATCTGAGAAAACACTATATGGGTATTTTATTCTCAGAATATCAAGAGATAAAATTATTAAAACATGAAATTTTACGGCTTCCTTTCATCTTTGTTAATTTCCATGGAATTTGATACGTTTTTATTCCAATATTTGCCCATTCATTAAGCCAATCAATGATGCTTTAAAGATGGACTATAGCATTGCTGGGTCAACTACTTTGATTTGAACATCCAGTTTACGTACATGCTCTGTCAGAGAAGCCCAACTGTCTCATGGGTGTGTGTGTGTGTGTGTGTGTGTGTGTGTGTGTGTGTGACTGATATGATGGAGGAAAGTGCTGCAACTTCTATTTATATTTTTATATTTATTTTGTGTATGTCTTTTGATACATAAAATATGCTAGCATAGTGGTATGTGTAGCTTAAATAAACATACTAGCAAACACTTTCTAACCTTATGAACATATTAAAATGATTTACTGAGAGGAACATATGTTTAAAAGGGTTTTTTTGTTTTGGTTTTTTTTTTTTTTTTTGGTACCAGGGATGGAACTCGGGTCTTTGTACTTGCAAGGCAGGCCACCAAACCACTGAGCTAAATCCCCGGCCCAGTTTAAAAGGATTTTGCAATCACTACAATATTTGGAAACATTCTTTACAGAATAGATTCTAGATTTAACTTCAGAGATTGCAAACCACAGGAAAAAAAAAGAGTCATCATTTGCTCCTTTGTTTAAGAAATAGAACCAGGAAAAGATGAAAATAAAGTGTTTGTAGATGGGGAGGGGAAGAGGGTGTGAAGGGAGGGCAGGGGTAAGGGGAAAAAATGAAAATCAAGACTTGTCATGTAGAGGTACAAGATCCCAACAATGAATGTAACTGTACTGTATCCCTAAAATGTACCAATAAACTCAATTAAAGCTGAAAAAAAAGAAATAGAACCAGGGCCAGGGATTTAGCTCAGTGGTTCAGTGACCTGCTTCGAAAGCTCAAGGTCCTGAGTTCAATCCCTGGTACCACAATCTAGGACTTAACTCTTTCAGGCAACCTATATCATCAAGGGCAGGGGATTTAGCTCAGCGGTTCGGTGGCCTGCCTCGCAAATGCAAGGACCTGAGTTCGATCCCCGGTACCACACACACACACACACATACACACACACAGAAAGAAATAGAACCAAGACCTGTCATGTAAAGGTACAAGATCCCAATGATGAATGTAACTACTGTGCACCTAAAATGTACCAATAAACTCGATGAGAAAAGAAAAACAAATAGGACAAATGACTTATCCTCCATTAAGAACAGCTTCAAACAAACCTACCTAGAGCTTGAGTGTTAGGTTGAACTCGTTCACCATATTCAATCCATAAAAATCTAAGCCTGTACTCATGAAAAAATTGGAGCTTCTTGAATATGCAACTGTTTCCTCTGCATAAACCAAATCCATCCTACAGACTTAGACTTTGGCCATCTCCTCTCTTGCAGCTTTGCCTACAGATGCACCACCACCCAAATTGGGTGGCTCCAATAAAATAAACAGCCATAATGTTTTGCAATATGCGTTGTGATCCCATTAATGAAAATACTGTTTTCTTAGAAACATATTCTATATTTATATTTTATTTCTAGAAAATGGCACTCACCTGAGTCCACTGCCACTACTGAGACATTGTACTGGTTATTTTTCACAAATTTTGATTCTCTATCTAGTACTTTTACAGTTTTCAAGTTTCCGGTGCTTTCATCAATGTTAAACCAGTTACCTTCATCCTGTACCTTCTTATACCTAATTCAAAGAAATCAAAGGTAAGCAATCAAGTTGAAGAGAAGACATGATCTTAAGAGCTATCGTTTTGAATTATACATTGAACTCTCCTAAATTTAAAATCAACTCAGACTCTATTAAAATTAAGGAGCATTTGAAAAGTCTATCACCTTAAGCCTTCGCCACTGCGTGATTCAGGGTCCAGAGCTTTGTAGCCAAGGAGTTCTTTGCCAGCAGGTAGGCCATCTTTGCTCTGAATCACTTTCACTGGTGGCTGACATTCAGGACCCTCATCACGGTCTTTAATTTTGACAGTGACAGTTGTAGTACACATTGTAGGCAGTGGTGAGTTCGCTGCTTTCGAGAATTGTGCTTCATTAAGTACACCGATTTGCAAAATAATTTGGTGACTGACTTCATAGTTCAGCGGCTGTTCAATAAACATATTTTTATCAATCAATAGATATCACTATACAGAAGGCTTAGGGTTCCAAGATTTAACACAAAGGAAATATCATTTTTACATTTAATTGCTTTGCACAGTGGCAGAGTAGTCACTGATGGGGTTTATCCAAGACATGATTATTGCTAATTGAAAAATTTTTACATTTAAAATGTTGCCAATGCTCCTAACTATACAAAACAAATATTAAGTAACATGAAAAACCAAATAAGCACTAATACAATTGTAATGGGGGATCTAAATACCCACTATCACAAATAGACAGATCATCTAGGCAAAAAATCAACAACAAAATACTAAAACTGAACCAAGCTTTTTTTTTTTCCAGCTTTAATTGAGTTTATTGGTACATTTTAGGGATACAGTACAGTTACATTCATTGTTGGGATCTTGTACCTCCACATGACAAGTCTTGATTCTCATTTTTTCCCCTTACCTCTGCCCTCCATTCACCCCCTCCTCCCCTCCCCATCTACAAGCACTTTATTTTCATCTTTTGAAAGCATGGATTTAATAGACGTCAATAGAGTGTTCCAACCCACAAAATCAGAAAATACATTCTTTTTGGCTGCATATGGGTCATTCTCCAAGATAGACCACATACTAGCTAACAGAACAGGTTTGAATAAATGCAAATGAATCGAAGTTATTCCCTGTATATTATCAGATCATAGTTCAATCGAGCTGGAGATCAATAGCATAAAAAAGCCGTAGGAACTTCACAAACACATGGAAATTGAACAACACTCTCCTGAACAATCAATGGATCACAGAGGAAATTAAAGAAGAAATCAGACAGCTTTTACAAATAAATGAAAATGCCAATACAACATACAGGAATCTATGGGACAAAATAAAAGCAGTTCTATGTGGAAAATTCATAGCACTGAATGCCTACAGTAGGAAAACAGAGCAAGCTCAAATAAACAACCTAATGATGAATCTTAGACTCCTAGAAAAACAAGAGCAAGAAAAACCCAAAGCTCAAACAAGAGAGGAAATTATAAAGATTAGAGCAGAAATCAATGCAATGGAAACTAAGAAAATAACACACAAAAATAAATGAATTGAAGAGTTGGTTTTTTGAAACAATAAATAAAATTGATAAACCCTTAGCTAACCTTATCAAAAAAAGGAAAGAAAAGGCTCAGATCCATGCAATTAGGAATGAAAAAGGTGAAGTCACAACAGATCCAACAGAAATCCAGAGGATAGTCAATACCTACTTTGAGAACCTGTACTCTAATAAAATGGAAAACACAGAAGAAATGGACAGATTTCTAGATACTTATGAATTACCAAAGTTGAACAAAGAAGATAAAAGCATTTTAAACACCCCAATTACAATCAGTGAAATTGAAAAGGTAATTAAAAATTTACCAACAAAGAAAAGCCCAGGTCCTGATGGATTCACTGCTGAATTTTACAAGACATTTAGAGAAGAACTACTGCCATTACTCTTCAAATTTTTCAATGAAATTTAAAGGGAAACAAATCTTCCAAATTAATTCCTGGAAGCAAGTATCACTTTGATTCCCAAACCAGGGAAAGAAGCAACTAAAAAAGAGAACTTCAGGCCAATCTCCTTAATGAATACAGATGCAAAAATCCTTAATAATAATAATAATGATGATGATGATAATATAACAACAACAACAACAACAACAATAATAATAATAATCCTTAATACTAGCAAACAGAATACAGAGGATCATCAAGATCATACATGCTGACCAAGTCAGATTTATTCCAGGGATGCAAGGATGGTTCTACATACGTAAGTCAATAAATGTAATACACTATATTAACAAAGTCAGGGACAAAAACCATGTGATCCTCTCGATAGATGCAGAAAAAGCATTTGACAAAATTCAACACCCATTCACGATAAAAACTCTGCAAAAAATTGGAATAGATGGTCTATGTCTCAACTTAATAAAGGCTATCTATGAAAGCCCAACAGCCAACATTATATTAAATGGCCAAAAACTGAAAACCTTCATGTTAAAATCAGGAGCAAGACATGCATGCCCACTATCACCACTCCTCTTCAATATAGTTCTGAAAACATTAGCCATAGCAATTAAACAAGAGAAAGAAATTAAAGCAATAAAGATAGGAAAGGAATAAATTAAACTGTCATTTTTGCTGACTATCTGATACTCTACATTGAAGACCCAAAAAACTCCACCAAAAGACTTCTAGACTTAAATGACACTTTTAGCAGAGTAGGTAAGGTCAACACCTAAAAATCAATAGCCTTCTTGTACACAAATAACAGACTCACTGAGAGAGAAATTAGGGAAACAATTCCTTTCACAATAACATCCAAAAAAATGAAATATCTAGGAATCAATCTAACAAAAGAAGCAAAAGACCTCTACACTGAAAACAGCAGCACTCTGAAAAAAGAGATCAAAGAGGATATAAGAAAATGGAAAGATATCCCCTGCTCCTGGGTAGGAAGAATCAACATAGTGAAAATGGCCATACTACCAAAACTGCTATACAGATTCAATGCAATGTCAATTCAATTGAAATTCCAACACTATACTTCACAGAACTAGAAGAAAAAATCCAAAAAGCCATCCTAGTTAAAAGACATGTGGCAGCAGGTATAACAATTCCCAATTTGAAACTATACTACAAAGCCACTGTGATGAAAACAGCATGGTACTGGCAAAGAAACAGACCTGAAGATCAGTGGAATAGATTGAAAGACACAAAAACAACTCCAGATGTACTCAGCTACGTCATCTTTGACAAAGGAGCTGACCATCCCCACTGGAGGAAAGATAGCCTCTTTAATAAATGGTGCTGGAAAGACTGAATCTCAACCTGCCAGAGATTAAAACTAGACCCTTATCTTTCACCATGCACTAAATTAAAATCCAAGTGGATTAAAGATCTAAATATTAAAATAGAAACACTAAACTTGCTGGAAGATAAGTTAGTCAGAACCCTTGAAAACACTGGCACAGGAAAAGACTTTATGAACAAATCCTCAGTAGCACGGGAACTAGCAGAAAGAGTCAACTACTGGGATCTCATCTTATTAAAAAGCTTCTGCACTGCAAAAGAACCCATCAACAAAACTAAGAGACAACCTACAATGTGGGAAAAAATTTTTACCAGCTGCTCCTCAGACAAAGGACTATTATCTAGAATTCATAAAGAACTCAAAACAATCACCACCCCCAAATATAAGGACCCGATTCAAAAATGGGCATCTGAAATGAACAGATATTTCTCAATCAAAGAAGTAAAACCAGCAAGTAGATATATGAAAAAATGTTCCACATCACTGGTCATTCAAGAGATGCAGATGAAAACAACACTGAGATTCCACCTCACCCCACAAAGAATGGCTGCTATCAAGAAATCAAACAATAACAAATGTTGGCGGGGTTGTGGGAGAAAGTAACCCTTCTCCATTGTTGGTGGGAGTGCAGACTGGTGCAACCACTGTGGAAATCAATATGGAGATACCTCAAAGAGCTGGAACTAGAGGTTCCTCTTGACCCAGCCATCCCTCTGCTGGGTATCTTTCCAAAAGAATTAAAAGAATCATATCACAGTGATATAAGTACACCTATGTTTATAGTGGCACAGTTTGTAATAGCTAAGACTTGGAAACAGCCCGTTTGCCCATCAGTTGGAAACTGGATAAAGAAGATATCATTTTTCTATAAAATTGAATACTACTCAACCATAAAGAATGAGAAATTAGATTCATTCATAGGAAAATGGATACATATTGAGGATATACTCCTAAGTGAAATTAAGAAGTCACACATGTGTAAATACCAAATAGTTTCTCTGGTATGAAAAACTGTAATAGTATGTAAGATCCTAATGAGATACTTCACAATGTGAAAAAGGGAGAAAAGGGCTAAAGTTGTAGGGAAAGTGGGAAGGGTAGGGGAAAGGTAATAAGGGAAAAGAAAAAAAATAGGAGAAAATGTAAAAATGGAAATAAAGTGTTTGTAAATGGGGAGGGAAGGAGGGGGTGAAGGGAGGTCAGGGACAAGGGGGAAAAAAATGAGAACCAAGATCTGTCATGTAAAGGTACAAGATCCTAATAATGAATGTAACTGTACTGTATACCTAAAATGTACTAATAAACGCAATTAAAAATAATAATTAAATAAAATAAAACGTTACCAAATGTCAGTGCTAATATAGGTTAGTAATCAGTTTCCTACAATGTTAAAATCGTCAAATGTAAAATTAGTGATTTTAGGAGTCAATCAGTTTTCTTCCTCACTTCTCAAAGATCTTAGCTTCACTTTTCTTATTATAAGTTTATTATTAGAAATGCACAAAAAGTATTTTCAGATATTCCGATTATTCCATTTCCCGTCATGTGAGAGAACTGTATTCCAAAAACCCTTCCAAGGTAATGCATGAAATAATCATGTAGTATTTGACTGTGTAGAAACAGTGGCTCTGAGTATTTAGATGGCAGGACATGTGACCGCACATTTTCATAGCGCGTTTAAAGTCTGCTGAATCTCTACATGAAGTGGTCAAACTAGACAATTACAAGACTTCTGAGAACAACAGTCAAAGGGTGAAAGAAATAGCGAAAGAAGGAAATTTAGAAGGCAAAAAAGAAAATAAGTTAGTGAAAGAATATGCAATGTAATGCAATCATATTTAATGAAAATCTTAGGAGAAAACACCGTTTCTCCATGAAGTGTCTAACATCTGATGTCTCTAAGAAAGCAGTGAGGGAACATAGGCAAGAGGTTAGTGAGGTCTACGGACAGAAGAACTCAAAGAGTAACCAGTAACTAAAATCTTCTCTGAGGTAAATATCTGATTTAGTATTCAATATTTCTAGCCTTTTCTTTTCTTTACATATAGAACAATTAGCTTTTTGCCTGATATGAGGAAAGTCATGTTTCTTCTAAGAAAATAAACGAAGGTAATTTTAATTAAGTTTATCGGTACTTTCTAGGTATGCAGTACAGTTCCATTCATCACTGGGATCTTGTGCCTCTACATGATGCATCTTGGTTCTTATTTTATCCCCATACCCCGGCCCTCCCTTCACCCCCTCCACGCTTCCTGTTCACAGAGACTTTGTTTCCATTTTTTCCTTTTCTTGTATTTTTTTCCCTTCTTCCCTTTCCCCTATTCTTCCCCCTTCCCTACTCCTTTACAAAATGAAGGTAATTTTAATAAAAGAAATAGGTTTATGTAAACCAGTGTAAATCAACATTATTGCAACATTGTAGTCATGTATGTATGGAGTTGTTTTTAATATCAATGCATAAGCCCAAGTTAGACTGCTTTAAAGTATAACTTCATTATTTTGTTTATTTACCTTGACAACACACAAGACTCCCTCATTCGTTTTTGGATCCGTCGTAATTTGGAAGTTACCGTTTTCATTTCCCTGTAGGACTGTGTATACAGCCTTCGAGTGAGGAGTGTTGGCTAAATCTTGGTCTTGTACCTTCATCCGTAAAACCTCAACAGCTATTCTGTTTTCTTCTACTTCTGCAAAATACTGGGGGAGAAATGCCATGTTACGTTATAAATCTATAGCTCTAACAGTACTCTTTTCTAAAAACTATATTTCTTTTTTTTTTCTTTATTGAGTTCATTGGTACATTTTAGGTATACAGTACAGTTGCATTCATTATTGGGATCTTGTACCTTTACAGGACAGGTCTTGGTTCTCATTTTTTTCCCTTGTCCTTATCCTCCCTTCACGCCCCTCCTCCCCTCCTATATATTTAAAGAAAAAGAAAAAAAATGATATGGAAGTGAATCCTCATATTGAGAAAGGATTTATAAATTTAATGCATATCTTATTCTTTCCTCTTAAACTGTTTTTTTCTCATTTTTTCCAAAGTCTACACGAATCTTAACTTCTGAATTTCTCACATGATTTTCCAGAACCTTGCAGTCCTCAGATTTGTCTCTTCTCAGAACTTTTACAGCATTTACAATTTATTCTCCATTTTAGACAAAGTAAGCACTGAGTTCATGCTTTGTATTAATATATTGAGAACTCAATATATTTACATAGTGAGAATATATATTGGTTTATTACTGGGTTACTTACTTTCACATTACTATCTTAAAATTTTCTTTTGATTAAATAATAACTACTTTAAGCAAAAAGTTTTCTTTGAGGAAATAAATCATGAACTTCTCCCCCACAGAAGAAATATGATTACAAGAAGCATAAATTATTAAAATAATAAAAAGGTAATAAATTCAAGCCTGCTAGAGATATACAATGAATTCATAGAAGGATGATAGCATTTGGATCTAGATTTGAATCCTAGTTATTCCTTGTAAACACTTATGAGATCTTTGACAAGTTATATCTTTTATTTCTTCATATGAAATGTGGAAAAAAATATCCTCACACATTATAGGAATTAATGTAAAAACATCACAGACTATGACTATCATAATGATTGCAGGATTTTCATTTTCTGACTTATACTTTGGTGTAAATTAATGAACAAAACAGACGGTTACTCAGTAACACTTCAGGGAAAAAAAGAATCATTTCCTTGTTACAGCCTAAAAGAAAGTTTGCTAAGGGATAGGGGAGTGTAGCATAAATTCAAACTCCAGCAGAAAATAAGAAGGCAGTTTCTTTCTCATTTTAAAAACTGGAGGACATCAGTGATAGGACTGCTTCTTGTTCACCTTATGAAATAAATTCAGTCCAAGGAATGTGCTCTGAACAATCCAGAAAAGAGGAACCACGTGAGCTGTATCAAAGACTGAGCATCTCCTGGGGACCCAGAACATCACTACTTCTGTGGCATCAGAAATAATTTCCCTCTCTGTGTTATTTGTAAGTGAAAGCCACTTAAACCAAAATGTGGGATTTCACAGGGCTAACAAATTCTACATTTGTTTTGAAAAACGGAATCCAAATAAATGAGTCAGAGGGACAGATATACTCACAGAAGTTTTTGTGAAACATGGTGAATTGTCATTTTCATCTTCAAGTGAAATTGTAATTGTTCCAGTAGTAAATAAACCAAAAGGTTGGCCCCCCATATCTCGCACTTCCATGATTAACTGGTAAGTATCGCATTTCTGGAAAACAAAGAAGCAAAAGGTACATTCATGTACAATATTTCCTATAACTTGCAGTTATTAGAGCTGCAATTATTTTACAAATATTATTTTAATGTGCATATGTAATATATATTGAATTCAAGGCCTTGGTCATGCTAAGCACATGCTCCCCCATAGATCTACAACTCTAGACCTAAATATAAGTTTTTTTAAAGAATACCATGCAAGTTTTTTTAAAGAACACCATAAACATAGACACAAAACAGATTTGCCAGTCGGTTAAATTCTTCTGTAAAATTGCCGAAATTTGAGAGAAACTAAAGTTCCTTTCATGAATAATTGGGAGTCACTGGTACATTCAAACAATGGATCACTATTCAGTACTAAAGAGAAATGACCCACCATGCCATAAAACACATGAAAATGATCTAAATGTAAATTATTAGAGTAAATAAGCCAATATGAAAAGGTTACATGCCGTACGAGTCCAACTATACGGCATTCAGAAAAAGTAAAAGCTATGGAGATAGGAAACAGATCAGTGGAGTTTGGGAGGAAGAGATGTATAGGAGGAACACGAAAGATTTTTAAGACAGTGAAATCTCTCTACATGATACTGCAGGGATGGATGCACGTTATTATGCATTTGTCCAAACCCACAGAATACACAGATCCAAGGACAAACCTAATGTAAACTGTGGTCTTTGGGTGCTAAAGCTGTGTCACTATGGCTCTCCTAACTGTAACAAAGGTATCACTGGGGTGCAGATGTTAACCCTGGGGCAGGCTGAGCATGTGGTAGGCATAGAACATGGGCTTGCTCTGCTCAATTTCCCCATGAAACTCAAACTGCTTTAATAAATGAAGTTTACTAACTTTGGCAGTGGGGGTACCGGAGCTAGAACTCCGATCCTTGTGCTTCCAGGGCAGGTGGCAGCACCACTGAGCTGAATCCTAGGCCCTTATTAATTTTTTAAAAATTAAATAATTCGGAGTCAAATAAAATTAATTTCTAAAAAAATACAAATAAAATACACTTTCCATTGATACGTGAAATCAGGTCAATGGCAGCAAGTGAGACTTTGTCTCATACTTTGTACCGATCCAATGTCTGTAGCCTTGGCAATGCTTTAGAGAGGAGGCCACAGTGGCCATACTGTAGCTTGTCTTGGGAATTCAGTATCAAAGTCTATATAGCTTAATAACTATGAAATTAATTAACCAATCCATTACCTCTCTGTCCAGTAAAGGTGTAGTTGTAGTAATGACACCTGTGTCTGGATGTACGGTGAAATGCTTTGGATGATCTGGGATTTGTTGCAGGATTTTGTATTTCAGACGAGTATGCAGAGTGTCAGGTTCATCAAGGTCTATGGCAGTCACTTGTCCCACAGAAGTGCCTGTTTAGACAAATCAGTTTGTCAAAAATTCAAGTCATGACATACCTGAATTATAAACAAAAAATAACACTGAAGCATTAGTGTAGCAAATTGTACCCAAAATCACAAAAAATGGTCAGTTTCACAGAAAATCTCAGGGGTGTATAAATGTTCTGTAGAACATCTCCAAGCGCCTCTTCCTTGGAACTTCAATTAGGGGGTGAATAACTCTACTCATTTTTGTTTGTTTGTTTTGGTATCAGGGATTGAACTCGGGTCTTTGCAAGGCAGGCCAATGCACCGCTGAGCCAAATCCCCGGCTCTCTCTTCTCATATTTCACACATGTGAGGACAGTCCCCACCCTGTGTTTGGTAACTGTAGTTCTCAAATTCTTTCCCCTAACCAACTACCCCAGGGCATGGGCTATTTTTGGATGGGACCTTCTCTGTATACTTTGTCATTTTTACAGTCCGAACAAATGATGTTAGTTAGAGATAGGTCTTAGTGTGTGAAAACAAAAATTTTATTTTTACATTGCAATAAATTTCTGAATTATTACTATAGGAAGTAACTATTAAGCTATGTAATAAGTATTATCCACCAAACTATCATTCAGATAAACTTCATTGCACAGACATGAAAGTAGTAGGAATACTGCTGTAGCAATCCACTGACTGTGAGACAAATATTATACATATGTGCATATGTGGCAATAGAACAGAGGAGGTCATGAGGGCTAGTGACATTTCTTACAAACTTTTAAAATAAATTATCTTATGCTTTTTGGTAGGCCTATGTTATAATCTTGGCTTCAAAGAGCATCAAGCCAGGTAATTTATTTTTGAATTTATTTGAATGGTATGTCAAGAAAAACAATATCTATATTGTTATAAATCTTATCAGTATACATCTGTTGTTATAATGTCATATATATTTGAGTCCTAGAAAATATATAAAATCTATAAAGATTCCAATTACATCATTTTTATAAATACGCCCATGACACATTCACATGGTAAAAATGGAGAATATAAATAACACTTGTTGTGCATGTAAATTCATTGTGATTAATCTAGCTAGTTAGAAACTTAATGTATTTTTAGAGGCATAGCAAACTGAACAAAAAAATTTATCTTTACAAAACATATGGTCTTATAAATCTAGAAGCTATATATTGTACATCCTTGAAAATCAGCATTTTACAATGTTCTGCATGGTTGTTTAAATATTAATAAGCATTTAATTGAGGCAAAAATCTTTTGTCATATGAAAGACTGGATAAAAGTTTAGACTAAAATGAAAGCTAATGTACAACAATCTTTTAATAAAGAGAATTCAGAAAAGCAACACTGACATTATTTCAATAAAGATTGATATCACACATATGTAACCCACAAAACTCAAACTTTGAATTTCAAGTGTCAGTTGAAAAATATTGCTTGATCCCATAAAATGTTCCCATATCTTTTTTTTTTAATTGTCACCTTCTTTTGTCACTCTTCTGGATTAAAAGGGAAAGGTGAATTTTGCCGGCATTTAGCCTTCAGATATTCTTAGATAAATAATCATTAAGAAAAAAATGAATAAATAAACAAATGAAAGAATAACTTCTCCCAGGAAAATGTCCCTCATAGCTCCCTTGTCATATTTTCTATGAATTCCAGGCTAGTCTCTTCTGTAATGAACACAAGATTTCTTCCAAATGACAGACCAAGCAACCCTCCCCCATCACAGAACATCTAAGCACCCACCTGCATGCCAAACTTCGCTCTGGCAACAACCAACCCCACAGAGAACTGAGTCAGATTTAATATATATATTATGAATCTCAAATTTAAGAAAATTTGCTCACAGCTATTTGAGCCTTAATAGGGATGTCATATAGCATCAACTTCTAACTGGAAAAAAGTGCATGCTGTCAGAAATACCTAAACATTTTGAAATGCAATGATGAATTTAAACATTTTAAATTATAGTAATTGTTGTCGATCTTTTTTTTTGAATTTTTTAAATCAGTACACGTTTGCAGGACACAATGCGCACGTTCATTGTAGGGAGTTGGTACATGTACATAACACATCTTAATTCTTTCCACAGCCCTTTTCTTTCTCCTCCTCTCCCCTCCCTCTTATCAGACCGCTCTAATATGTGAACTTACCGGATCTGCAATTTTCAGGCACGCTAAAAACTGTCATTTTGGTTTCAAAATAGGGGGCATTATCATTATCATCTTCGACTTTAAATAGCAAAGGGAGTGGATAGTCTGGTGCATAGCCATCTGCAGTTGTTACGTAGCCATATACCTGGAAGAAAAAAAGTACCATTGGCTGGTCCTCAAGTGACAAATAGTGCACAATAGTGAGCCTGGCAGCAAGGCAAATTGTGTCACTTAAAAAAATCATTCGTGTCATTAAAAATATATGACTAAGAAATGACGCAGAGTAGAGATCCCAAAGGGGTGTTTGTATGCCTGCGATATGGCTTCAGTCTCCGGCAGGGGTTAATTCGCATTTTCTTCCCAAAGCATCTTGCCTTCCAAGCACCACGAACTCCAGAGGTTCTCTGAATTAACTGCACCCTGTTCTATTGTGTGTGTAGGCTTCCTCCAGATAGGCTGGTAACAAACATTTTTTAAAGTTTATTTTTAAAGTACAATGTTTGTTTATAGATTATATATATGTATAAATATATATCGCAATTATTTCTGATCAATGTCTCTACATGTACTTTCCTATTTTCTATCATTAGCATGGATCTTTCTAATAAAAATCCTATCACCCTGTTCTATTGTGTGTGTAGGCTTCCTCCAGATAGGCTGGTAACAAACATTTTTTAAAGTACAATGTTTGTTTATAGATTATATATATGTATAAATTATTTCTGATCAATGTCTCTGCATGTACTTTCCTATTTTCTATCATTAACATGGATCTTTCTAATAAAAATCCTCATAAAAGCACACACATAGTTAAAAACCCTTCTCTAAACGATATATCACGATCTTAACCACCAAGATTTAATGAATTTTTTTTCCTCTTTAAATTTCACCAAGCATTTCTGTGCTCTCCTTACCTGGCTTATGCATAAGAAGTGTTCAGTAAAATATTTAATAAAATACATTTACTTCCCCTAAACCTGCCTAAAGTAAACTCTCTATTACTTGATTATTTACGACAGATTTCCCTGATTTGCTTACCACAACCATCTCTAAAATGAATTAGGATTGAAATTTCAGGTCTCAGACTCTCATTTTCATTAGGCCTATTATTCAGTTGCTGAGTTCTAGAGACTGTGTGTCTTTTGCGGTCCTATCATCCAACTTCTCTTTGCTATTCTCACGGCCGTCACCTCCATGCAATTCCAAATGTCCCACACTTAAGTGGCTTCCAGACTCCTCCGTAGTTGTCCTACCTGACCTCCCTGACCTTCTCCATTCTATATAGCACTCAGGAATCAGATTCTAGTTTCATAAAATGCAATTTCAATCATGATGCTCCCTAATCAGATTGACTCCTCCGTAGTTGTCCTACCTGACCTCCCTGACCTTCTCCATTCTATATAGCACTCAGAAATCAGATTCTATTTTCATAAAATGCAATTTCAATCATGATGCTCCCTAATCAGATTCTTCAGTGATCTACTAGCTTTCTGTGATAGGAACCATCAAACCCTTACTATTGTGTTAACTGTTTAAACGGTTAAATTTCGCCATTTGACCATTTGTGCTAATGCAGAATGGAATGAATTTATACTCCTACAGGGAACAAAAAGTATTAAAAATAACCTTCTAGGAATGTTTCTCAGTGGTTAGTGTGCTTCCCTAGAATGCGCAGGACCCTCGGTTTATTCCCCATACTGTAAAAAGAAAATAAAAAAGAAACCAGAAACATCTATGTTCTCCCTGCTTCTGTATTCACTTTTCTCCAAACAACCCTATGAGCTTTTTAGGTAATAAAACTTATATTTGTTTTTCTGCCAATCTGATCTAATGGAATGAATTTATACTCCTACAGGGAACAAAAAGTATTAAAAATAACCTTCTAGGAATGTTGCTCAGTGGTGAGTGTGCTTGCCTAGAATGCACAGGGCCCTCGGTTTTATTCCCCATACTGTAAAAAGAAAATAAAAAAGAAACCAGAAACATCTATGTTCTCTGTAAAAAAATAAATACATAAAAAAGGAAACCAAAAACATCTATGTTCTCCCTGCTTCTGTATTCACTTTTCCCCAAACAACCCTATGAGCTTTTTAGGTAATAAAACTTATATTTGTTTTTCTGCCAAACTGATGTCTTTTTCTTACTCCTCAAAAACTTGTCAAACTCAGGAGTGGAATTCCCGGATGTAGCATCACTATTGCACCATTGTCACCACCACACCACTGACATCCCCATCATCTTCAAAGCCACACCCTGGACATCCAGGCACCGTCCTCCCCAGCTGTCCTTGTGCTCCTCCCTTTCTTCCTATATGAATGATGTGCACTTGTATTTCATAAAATGCTGTCACTTTTGAGCTTTTCGGTCAAAGAAATAATACTTGACTTTGAAATACTATTCCTTTATATTTGACTACACGTTAAGTATGGTTAGATATGCCATTGATACAGATGCAATGATTTTGTTTCAAGTATGAACCAAGTATCTCCAAAATAAATTATAATTGAAATTGCTATAGTAAACAGGACGACTTAAACTAGGAAAGTAGTCGAACATTCTAAAATAGCCCAACTCTCTAGGAAAATCCAGTCATATCAATATAATGGAATAATGAATTCTATCTTCTTAGTGTTTAGAAAGACCTTAAAAAAGCTCAACAAAAGTAATGGTTTTGCACACTAGATGCCATTACTTTATATTAAAAGCAATAAATAGTAGAGTTAAATGTTAGTATAGCAAGACTAATAAATATTAGAATTATTTTTAGCCAGGTTAGAAAACTGTTATTTAAAGCTCACAGGCTTGTTATTGCAATTTTCTTTCTCCTTTGAATTCTTCTGGATCTGGAAAGACCTGATTTCTTTCAGCCCTTTCACTTTCTATTTTGCCAAATTGCTGCCTTCTTTGGAAAAATGCAAATAGCTGCTGAGAGGAATTTTGCAAAGAACGTCATTACCTTCTCTTTCAAAATAACAAGGGTTTAATCAGTATCAGTCATCATCATCCCTTAAAACCACTGTAAATTTGTCTCATACATCACGTTAGACATCAAAACACTGGAGAGATAGGTATAATTTGAAACAAGAGCAGAAGGACTTAGTTTTCTAAAGACAATTTGTTTTGGGCTAGAATAAGATAGACTGGTAAATTTTTTCTGGGTTACTCAGGAAATAAGAAGAAACCCAAGGATTTCATTGATGAACAGTAGGTGAAAGAGGAAAAAATAGAAGCACTAAGCACTCAGGGTGAAGATCAAACCATGCTGTGTCTACATTAAGAGTCACCTTGGATAATTGAGCCCCAGACCAGAACAGTTAAGTCCCAATTTCTAAGCATGGGCCCTGGAAAACCATGGATTTTTAAAAAGATTTTAATTTTCATAGCATGTACAACATACAATCATGATGGACAATAACTGAGTATTATATTATAGAGAACTTTGAATGAAATAAAAGTAATTACTTCACTAGAACTCTGCAGATCAAAATCTGCTCTTTAAAATTCTGTCATATATTTTCTATACCTCTTCCCCTACTTTTGTCTCCTTTTTTATGCCTACTGTCTTCTTTTGTAGCAGTGACACCAATAGAAATTTGAAGTTTACATGTTGAATATTAATTATATTTATAATATTAAATATTTTACATAGAAAAATCCACACTGAAAATATTAATAAATTGAAGATAAAGATATAATTCTGAATAAATATTTTGTAATCCTACCAAAAATTGATTATAAGGCTCACAAATAATATTTTTTGCATGAAAGGTATCTCTAGATAAAATATTAATAAATTGAAGATAAAGATATAATTCTGAATAAATATTTTGTAATCCTACCAAAATTGATTATAAGGCTCACAAATAATATTTTTTGCATGAAAGGTATCTCTAGCTGGTCACAATGCTGTGTGTGCCTCTAATCCCAGCACTCAGGAGATTGAGGCAAGAGGATCAGGAGTTCAAGTTCAGCCTGGGCTACAATGTGCACCCCTGTCTCGAAAAAACAAAACAAAACAACTCCCCCCGTCAGTGCACTATGTCTTTCTCTATGTAGAACAAATTAAAGATCAGGGCTCAGAACAATTAAGTCACAGCTTCTAGGCCTGAGGTTTCGTTTGTCTGTTTGTTTGGTTAGTTGGTTGGTTGCTGGTTTGGGGTTTTTTTTAATTCTTATGTGATTTATAGCATATAGTAATAGTTGAGGCTAATTGAGGTATTATATCATAAAGAACTTTGAACTCAATAAAACCCTTCATTTACTTCCCCAGCATTCTACAGACCAGAATTTGTTCTTTAAAGTTCTGTCATTGTATTTCCTGGGTCTTCCCCCACTTTTACTTCCTTGTTTTTTATCTACCATCTCTTTTGTAGCAATGGCAGTATTAGGAATTTGAAGTTGATATTGCATATTAAAAATATTTCCAAAATTAAATCAAATATTTAACTTTAAAACGTGTAAAAAAACCCCACCAAAATATCATAAGCAAATAAGAAAGATACAACTTTGAATAAATATTTCAACAATCATACCAAAAACTGGTCATACTGCTCACGGTCAATGCTTCTTGTGCAATAAATATCTCCAGTGTCTTTCTCTATGTAGAACAGGTTGAAGGGCTCTTTGTCCACTCCTGGTCCACTTATGGAGTAGAAGACAGTGTAATTCTGTGCAGCATCAGATTGAATCTAGAAGAATAAATGACAATTTGAGGCCAGAAGAAAAATGTCATGCTATCTTCAACCTAAGTGTGCTTTACTTGTTATCATTTACTTTCTTTTCTACTTACCTGTTGTTTCTCTCACCTCTACTTTTTTATCTCTCCATCTCCCATATTTTGCAAATTCTTGTTGCACTTTGTAATGAGCAACACTACAAACTGTCACATTTGATCCTAAATTGTTTTATTATTTGCATAGCTATACAGTTCATGGAGTGCTATGCCTATATCATTCCTACTCATTTACCATTACTCCCATTATAGTAGCCTTTTCAGTGATTTTGAATCATTTGGAACTGAAATTATATGACTAAAAAGGTACTATAAAAGTAATGCAATTTTTCTTTCAAATTAATTCTTCAGAAACTGTGTAATCCCAAACACTCTTATGCTTTTATTTCAGCTATGTGGCAGTGAGACAGCCTTATATGGCAAACAGAAAAATGATCAGATTTTGGAGCTTAGTGTTAATTTAAGCAAGTGTTGAATTGTGTAAACCTTGTAAACATCTTGTACATGAGTGTTAAAAGTTTAGCAAAGCATTTGAGTGAATTTGGATATAAGCCTATGGGCACAGGACACTCATGATATGAAACTTTGTTCTAAATGTACATATGTTTTGTAAGAGAGCAATAAAATACATTGGGTCACTTCTGTGTGACCCTAATTCTGGTGAACAGATGATCCTATTACTAGCAGTCGTTTGAAGCTCTGATTCAATATACTGTGCAACTTTCAAATGGAAAGTTTTAACAACAAAATCTCTAAGATACATGAAATCACAGAAAAGATGAAACGCACCTGCTGAACATGTTGTGGAAATGGACCTAATGAGTTCTCCATCAGTGAGCACGGAATAGGAGCCCATCTTCTCTTACTGCGCCGGAGGGATGTGTTTTGGGGAGGTATTTTCCTACGAGACTACATTTGGTGGAAAAAAAAAGTAATATAAGCATTGTTTTTCATGCTTGGAATTGTGATTTTTCACATATGCATCAATATGGAGAAAATAAGTAAGGTTGATACATAATAATATTATGAATGATCCCCTGAAACATTTCTATTTTTAGTAATAAGACCTGTATAAACTGTCTCACACACAATTTTGACCTCAGGCTACCTCATTTTCTAGGGTGTCTTCTGGTCCCTGGTTTAGCTAGTTAATAATCAGAAACATACAGGGCATTGAGGAAGATGCCATCTTGACATAGGCCCCCAATAGAAAATCCATTAACAAATATTTGAGAACTGATTTTATTCCATGAGAAATGGTATAACCAAGCTCTCTCTCCAGTGCAAGAATTTATAGCCCAAATAAAGACACAGGGCAGCATTTTCCCAAGTAGGTTTTATTTTATACAATGTGGAGATTCTTCACAACTTGAGTAAAAATTGTTTTGTAATACTTAAGTGTATTTTAGATTCAATGAAGAGGACCAAAATAATTTAGCTCAGAGATTCGTTTAAAAATTAAATTGCTTATTAATAAATGATTTTATAAGACTAAAATCACTGTACTGAGTTTTCTTAAAATGAAGTGTGATGTGTGTTCCAGCAAACATCTCCCAGGAACACCACCAACATTCACTGCAATAAAATGAATGACTGAGGGGCTGAGGCAGACCAGTGTTTTGAACTGGCCACTTCCTTACCCTTTCAAGAGAAGGACTTCGTGCAATTTTCTATTGCAACTGGAGGAAGTTGTAGATTATCTCTTCTTTCAAAAGAGTCTCAAACCCACAGTGAATCGGGAGCGAGCCTCTCAGGGTGGAGTGCAAGGCCCCTAGCCTGCTGCTCTTCCCGCTGAGGTTGGACCCATCTCTGCCTGCACTTGTCCTTCAGCTTATTTGTTCTCACTGCCTCGTCTCAAAACACTATCTGGGACCTTCCATAGTTTGGCTTTCTCCCTGCAAGAGTAGGTTATCATTATACAGCTCTGTAAATAGCTCCACTACTCCTGCAGAGTCTAGTCTTCACCTATATGAATTATGAGCACAAAAAAAACAATAGTTCAAGGACAGCAATTTTAACCTGAAAAGAAGTACACAACATGAAGGAGCCCCATAAATACATTAATGTGCAAAATGATTGGAATACTTGCTGTACCTTTTCTGTAATTAGCTCCAGTACAATGCCTGCCTCTTTCTGTTCCTTTGTATGATGGTTTTCTATTAAAATCGTAAAAGTTGTTTTAGGAGGCAAATGGAGGTCACGGTTTGCATAAATTGTGCCATCTTTATCCACTCTAAAGTCATGTTTGTTGGCATCGGAACCAGAGATTTCAGAGTCCGACCTGGCATACTTCTTCAGATCCACTGCAGGGAAGATATTTCACAGCAGCATGTCAAGTGAAACAGGAATAGAACGAGTTTGGCTAGAATGACAACAGTGATTAGTGCGTGAGAAGCAAAAAGGGGTGGCTACACCTGCTCAACTAAAACTTAGGGGCCATGAAAATGAAGTAATTAAATTAGTGAGCACATATTTCTCATGGCTTTCATCATAAATTAAAAAGCAAATTATTTTCCCAGTGTCAGTAGGTTTAGTCTTTTCACTTTTTCTAGTACACACACACACACACACACACACACACACACACACACTCACACACAGAGTCTTCAATTTATTGCTAGTTGGACTTCATGACGAAGTAAAGTGATATGCTATAGGTTAATAGAAGCTATGCTTTAAATTTTAAATTTTAATTTTGATCTTTTCTCTGGCTAGCAATGTGTGGCAGGATCCTCTGTAGAAATGCCAGGCAGGGGAAGCGAGCTGCTGCTTCCTGTGAGCCTGGTGGAAATCGGGAAACTTTGCAGTGCACGATTGCTAAGCTATGATGTTTGGGAGGTTAGGTGTGTTAAATGCTGTTTCTTCTTACAATATTTGTAACTGGCAGTGGGTTTATCAAAGTGTATCACAATTTTAAGTCAAGGAGCACTGATAGATAGATGTACACTCACATAGATACACACACAAATATGTTGTTTTATAGTGACAAGTTGTTGATTTATCAATATATTACTATTTTATATCACATGTATTACAACTATATGACCCCAGTAGATTTTGGACTTATTTGTAGTACATCTTTGATAGTTAAAATTTGTTGCAATAAGTAAAAAAATAATTGGTCTATTTTTATAATTGGTTTCTTTTAACATTTCTCACTAATACAACATTGCAGTTAATCTCTCTGTAACACTTCTTTGAAGTTTAATGAACTCATGACTCTGTATGCACTGATGATTGAAGTAGTAAAAGGCACCAAAATTTTGACTTTCACGAGCTGTGACATGAACTAGATCATCTAAATTCTTGGTGAATGTACGTTTACTGTCGCCAATCCCAAGTACAAGTTTTACTGGAGAAATTTTAACACCTTTGTTTCATGTGTAATTAATTAAAGAAAGTTGGTGCTGGAATTTTGATGAATAGGTATGAATTAAAATGTGCTTCTGGTTGTGGGACCTTCCTTAAGATAGTTTAACCTCGTGATATTTGCTGATTTTTCTGGCAAGAAAAGTATGTGACTAACTTTGGTATTTTAATTATTTTTAACCAGCACCCCCAAAAAAGTAGCCCATGTTTCAGTATTTGACCAGTTTTAATGCCAAGTGACTACTTTATGGCTTTAATCTCACACTTTACAACAGCAACCAGAAGCCAAATGCAGCATGTTGCAAATATTAACCTCTCCAATCCAGTTTCTCACCTTTGGTGACAACTTGATTAGCCGGAACATAAGAAGGAACATGGAGAACAATTTCCTGATAAGCTTCATGAAATAATAACAAAACCTCAAAAAAATAAAGGAAAAAAAAGGAATTACACTTAATCATATATTTTACATTAGTTTAGTTTTATTGATTAAAAATATTATCAGCTTATAAACAAGTTAATCTTTTAATTGTTCTTCTTATTCATATTTACTTTAAATGGAAGCAGCAAAACAAGTCAATTTCGGGACACTATAGTCATTTATTATCAATGGAAACATTAAGTGGGGACTTGACTCAGTGGTTCCGTGGCCTGTCTCACAAGTGCAAGGGCCCAAGTTCAATCCCCAGTGCCAAAAAAGAAAGAAAGAAAGAAAAAGAAAACATTAAGTGGACAGTTCTTATGAATCTGCAAGAAAATGTGTAATAACCCACTGATTTTACACAGCATTTATTTTCTCTAATACCATTTATTTAAATTTTTTCCTAAGTAGTCTGTATTTCAAGCCTTTTTTAATCTCATAAGAATAATGCTTAGAAATATCCTCTATTCTCACATCACTTTTCAGACTGACTATGCAAAACTTAAAGTCTAAATGATCTCAAATCACACAATAGTCTAAAAATAAATATATTTTTTAATTTATCTGTTTGTTTGTCTGAGATAGACTGCCCTTGAACATACAGTGATCCTCTCCTGCCTCAGCTTCCTGAGTCCCAGGATTACAGATATGTGCCACCATACCCAGCAAGAAATATATTTTAAAATAGAAAGACTAACTTTCAAAAATTGGTAAGATTTTTTTAATTAAATTCAAGATATAGCTGTTGCTTTAAAAACTTAAGTAGTTCTGCTGAGCGTTGTGGTGCATGTCTGCAGTCCCAGCACTGTGGGAAGCTGAAGCAGGAGGATCACAAGATGAAGCCCACTTTGGGGGCTGGGAATGTTGCTCAGTGCAAAGGTGATGGGTTCAAATCCAGTAGTGCAAAAAAAAAAAAAACTGCAGCTCAAAGAAGACAGATACTATCTGAAACTTAAAGTTCTCAGTTCGAAGGCTTATATAATTGAAAATATATTTTCTTCTCTTTTGTCATTTTCTGTTTATTTGCTCTTCTTTTTATCAAAATCACTACATTTTGATGGTTTAGATATAAAATAGGTCACAGTCAGAATTCTCAGAACGATATGGGTCAATTCTGTTCTTTCTGAAGACATATTTCTAGGGTTCTGGGTCACATCACTTGTGAGGAAGAAAGAGAAAGGATTAACATTCATATTAGGGATAAGCATTTCTTTTCCAACTCAGTTCATATCTATTAGATACATTTTAGCAGACTATTTAAATAGATTCTGATTTTATAAATCTCTGCTAGTAATATGAAGGGCCACAATTTTAGTCACATTTGTATTCAGTTTTAATTTAAATATTCACATATTAAGACATGACATTCCTATATATTTAACTTTTTAAATATGTTTTTCCTTGGCACCAAGGAATGCTCTAAATTACATCTAAAGAACTTTCTGAGGATAAAGCATTCTCTCAGTAGTGATCTAAATGTACAATGTGGAAAGAAGACATTGCAATTAGAAATATACATGCATTTCATATATATATATATATATATATATATACACACACACACACACATATGCACACACAAGAGTATACTCGCACATTTACCTGCGTGTGTACATCTGCGTATATTTGCATATGTATAATATCCACATTCCCACACCCACCCTCATCTTCTTTCCCCCCTGTCCTAGGCACCACTTCTGTGAGGCCCTCTGTACTCAGAGCCAATGGGAGCTTCCAGTTTTCAGTCTGCTGGTCTCCAGGTTAATCAGCACATAGGTGATTTAGAAGGAGATGTGGTCAGATACCTTTTTAGTCATCATGAGGATCAAGAATGAATGAGCACAGGTTGAATGAAGGGATGCGGGGAAAGCAAGCTCCAAAAGCAAAATAAATTGATAGAATTCCTTGGAAATTTTTCACCACATTTTACCTAACTAATGGTAAGTCAAGATTGTTTATTCTCCTCAGGAGAAGCTGGACCAAGAACCCTGCATGGTGTACCATTTATATGAAAAAGAAAATGTTTAACACAATACAATGAAATGTTCAATTTCTAAAAATGAAATTTGAAAATTTTTTGCTAAACTGAAAGAAAAAAGGAAACTCATGGCTCACAAATGCTGCATGAAGATGTGAGAAGTCTCCTCTTTTCCTATCAAAGAAAAAAACGGCACCTTATACACAGTTACAAAGTTACCAAAAACCCAAGTGGAAGTCAAGTTAATGGCATTTTCAAGGATCATATTTTACTTAAATCCTTTTCCATCCCTTACATTTCAGTGGAAGGAAGCATGTTGAACACATGAGCTTATTTAATAACTAAGAGCAAAAGCAAACTCAGAGATCCAGGACCAAATGCCTAAGGACTGAATTTATTCCACCACTCATAAAAGTACCACAACAAGATTGAACACAGAATTTCCTTGAAAAACTTTAACATCTGGCAACGGGCCCTCGAAGAGAAAGCTAAACATTCCTCATCTTGGATCTCACGGCTCTAAATTCTTCCCCGAATTTCTCTGAGGTCTGCTTTTGTCTTTCCCACTCTACCCTACTGCTTTCCACGTCCACCTCTTCTCTCTGTCAAGCCCACAGTGGAGAGAGGAAGCGGGTACTGATGTGCTTGGCCCCTCATCCTTTTGTTGTTACTCACCAGGAGAGAGAAAAGGAGCTGCTCACGGAAGATGCTCCTTGGGGCAGCAGAGGCCACAGCCATCAGAAGCGGTCCCAGTGGCCCAGGATGGTGACCAGCTAAAGGGGTGACCCGGGATGCACAGGGCAGCCGAGTAGTTGCTGGCACTTCCCTGGGTGTTCTGCAGCCACCTTGGCCCCGCTGCGCTCGCTTTGGAAGAGAGTCAGGAGGCAAGTGATAAATGACAGGAGGAGCAGCAGCAGGAGGATGGTTCCCTCCTATTCCTGGGTCCTTCTTCCTCCTTCCAATCCAATTACGTCTGAATGGAAAGAGGTTTTCCTGCAAGTGAGGAGAGTGAAGCTCAAAACACCCCAAACCCAGTTACTGGCTCCTCCTCACAGCAGCTTTCAAAATTTCTCCTGCCACTTAACACATAGGCAGAGGCAGGAGGCAACACCCTGCGTCCTCGGCCCTCCTCCTTTTCCCCCCAGGTTGATGCTAAGGATCCCTCCCCAGTCATTACCTCCTCCCACAGCCTCCCCTCCTTCTTAACCTTCCTAACCTGCCTTGCCCCTGGGTGAAAATGTAAAGTGTGCACAAACTCCATGCGAGGAAGCGATGCCTCCTTGGCTGCCATTGGCAAATCAGAAGGCATAAGCATGTGTAATCACATCCATCAGGAGTTATCTCCCCATCTAAGCATTCAGGTGTAGCCACACAGATCACTGTAACACAGAGCCCGGCAACTTTACAGGCCCATTGTGTCTACTCCCTATGATTTTCTGTCTGCTGGGGTTTAGACCTCTGGACATGACAAGTTGTTTCTCAGAATATACTGACCTAATAAACATCAAACGATAAAGAAGGAGCCAGGATCCCATTTTTTTTTATTGTTTTCTTTTGTTACACACTAAGCCACATATTTTATTCTTATCTATCTTTCTAGGACAACTATGATACATGAGACCTAGGCTCATTAGACTCACTGCATTCACCCTAATTACGTGTTCATTGGGTACTCTAGCCTAGTGGTACAATAATGCCATCATGTCTAGGTTTTGTAAACACTCCTGACTCCTGCAATGAGGTCTGGAGCATCGGATTTTTCTGTCATAGCCAAGAGAGCTCAGAGGTATCAATTGCCCTCAATGGCAGCGATGGAAGTTAGGGAAAGATGATAAATATTTTCAAATGTTAACTGCTTACTTTAAGCATAGAGAGATAACTAAAATTTGTACTTACTGCTCCAAATCAGGAACCATAACAAGTCCATGAAACAGGAACCATGAAACAGTCCAATGAAGGACTACTTTATAACATGCAAGAGCCACAGGGAAGTAAGAACATATCCTTTGTCCAGGAGTCAGTGAAAGAGTAAATATGCGATTCTGAGGCTGTCTGCAACCAAAGTGTTACTTGTACTTTTATCTGTATGTTTGTAGAAGCTACCTAAAGATATACAATAGACCACTGACTTACAAACTCAGTTTATTCGCAAGGGCTGGTTGTAACGCAGGTTGGTCAGTTGAAGGCTGAGGCTGCTCTACTCAGCCTTCAAAGCCTCTCCTATATACAGACAGACCTCAGTGTCCTTAGAGAGACACTGGCCCAGGGTTTCTCAGAACCCCACACAGGAAAGGACGTTGGAGTGTCCCTTCAAGGACTCTTTAAGGGTTCAATCTGTATCTGAGACCACCTGGAAGCACAAGTGACAGGCATTTGGGTCATAACTCAAGACTTTGGTCATAAGTTAAAACTAAAATTCCCATCATAACCCGAGTTGTTTGTATGTCAGGCCAGTCATAACTCGAGGGACCCTTTGAACAAATTCGTAAAGGTTTATATGCTAGGCTCTGTTCCATCTGCTGAGAGAGGGAAAAGAAGATTGGAAACTTTATGATAAATAAGTTAAGTTTCTGAATGAGGATACAACAAAAGCTTAAAAGTTTGAGCAAAAGAAATCACTATTGCAAATATTAAATATCTTAGCAATAAAGGGAGAAATGAATAATAGATAATTAAATGCTTAGTTCAGAGTCTCAAGTATAAGAGTTTGTTTTTAAGTATGGAAATATTACATCATCTGTTTCCACCATATATCTGCGACCATAAAGAGATCTAAATGTGAAGACTCACATGAATCATTTCTTTAATCTTTAAAGAAAGTAAATACATTTCTAGTAACTTGAATAATGTGTTTTATAGAAATACAGTAAAAATTTTCTTAAGAATTGTTTATGACCAACTTGTAGAAAGGGTTGAGTTTGAATTTTTAAGGCCCTGAGCCAGCTATGTACAGATAGAACTCTGACCCCTGCCAGGGAGCCTGGTTTATTCTAAAACACTAGGTTGGTAGAAATGCCAGGCATTCTGATGAAGTCGTATCAAAGTAGTTTGCTTTAAATACACACAACTGGAGATAGCAGAAACTATAGGGGTAAACATAGGTGGTACTCTCAGTATGAGAAAAGATATAAACAAAGGAAAAAAGAAGTTCTAACTGTAAAAAATAACATCTTGGGCCCTGAATTTCAGGGTACGGAAGTGGAAAGTCCCTTCAATTCCACTGGTCTCACACTATCTGGGTAAAAGTTTGCTAAATATTCAGACTAAAGTCTGTGCCCTGCTAATTACTGGCAATTATTTCACAAGGATTAATTTTCCATGAAATGACCACTCCTGCTATTTTCAAAACTGTTGGCAGACCAATGAAAAGAAATGTTACCACCTATCTTTGGATAATGTAGAACTCTTTCTATTCAGCGTGCATGCCTAACTCAGGCTGGTATAAGAGAAATAAAGCAAAACTGTTCAGCATGAAGAGATTTGTTAGGTCATGTAACCGCAAAGCTGGGGAATGTCCTAGAGTCAGGCAGAGGTCCTCTGCATCTCTTAGCTCTGTCATTGTGCTGGTTTCATTATCACTCAGTTTGCCCAGTGCTGAGTCAAAGATGTTACCAGAAACTCCAAGATTATACTCCACTGGGTTAACAATTCTTGTTGGAAGAGAGTGTTTGGTTTCTTTTTTTTTAATTAATTTTATTGGAACATTTAAGGTATATAACATATAACATTCATCATTGGAAATTTTCACCTTTACATAATCCATCTTGGTTCTTATTTTTTCCCCATTCCCCTGCCCTCCCTTCAGCCCCTCCACCCTTCCCTATCTACAAAGACTTTGTTTCCATTTTTTCATTTTCTCGTATTAATTCCATTCCCTTCTTTCCTTTCCTGTACCCCTCCTTTTTCCCTTTCCCCTTTGCCCCTTTTCTTCCTATTTCACATTGTCTATTATACCTTTTAGTCCTTATTTACACTTTCAGTTTCTCACACTACAGAAACTATTTGGTATTTACACACGTGTGTCCTATTTGTGTCACTTAAAGAGTATCGCCTCAATGTGCATCCATTTGAGCTTGTTTTGTTTCTAAGAGTGGAGCAACATTTTTTGTTTTAGGTCTGTGCTTAAAATATCAGTTTAAAGGCAAGGAATGAGCCAGACCATATAGACCATATAAGCAGAAGTGGTAAAGAAGTCATTGCCCTGAAATAACTACAGGTTGCAAACAGAAACAGGAGTAATAGTGACTAGGTGTGCACAATCCAACAGATTTCTACTAATGTAACATTTTCTTTATTTTAATTTTAATAGTACCAGGGAATTATTCATCAATTATTTATGGACACCTTCTATAGCTAAACACTATCCACCATTCATTGAAGACAGCATCTCTGCCCTCATGGAATTTATGATATATTATTCATTTTGAAAATTAGCTAATATAATTTGCTACTAAGGTCAGTATTAAAATCCTGGTGAAATGAACATAACAAATACTTTAAACTGCTATTCATTTCCACCTGTTTCCTTCAATTACGATTTTCTTTAGTGATCTCTCAGTTTAAAAGTTTAATCTTTCTTTTCTAGTGATCTTTCAAGTTTGAAAAGTGTTACTACCAGTTGTTTATCCTGCATATTAAAAATTATTAAATGTCAGCTTTGAAACAAGAGAATATATATACTCACTACCTAAACTTGGTTTAGAAAATGGATGCTCCTTGAGACCATTGGTAAGTGAAATAAATCAGACACACAAGGTCAATTATCACATGGTTTCTCTTATATGGGAAGTCCAAAGTGTAAGTAAAGAGCAAAATAAAAAATAGACAGTAGGGGCCTGGTGTGGTGATGCATGCCGGTCATGCCAGCACTCGGGAGGCTAAGGCAAGAAAAATGCTGCAAGTTCAAGGCCAGCCTTGGCTACACGATGAGTTCAAGTCCAGCCTGAATGAACTACCTTAAAACAAAACGAAACAACAACGAAAAAGACAGAGGTTGTAGTGAGATGCGTGTTTCTCAAAAGAGGAGGAGATTCAAAAAGGGCGGGGGTAGGGAAAGAAAGAAGGGAAAAGGGGGTGCAGAAGGGATTAAAGTGTGCTGTGTGCAGGCACCACTGCACACAAAGACTGAACACTGTGCACTGCAAACGTACAGAAAAACAAAAGAGGGATGAAGAGATGGGTAGAGGGCAGAGGGAGGGAAGGGAATGGGGTTGAAAACGGGAATTGAGATGTATTGTACCCGTGCACGAATTCCCCGTGAGGAATCATGTACTGAAACCTGTACAATAAAAAAAGTGGCAATGCAACCTATGCTGTAAAAGTGATATTTCAGTGTATACCTTTCCAGGTTAGTTTCTGTGTACAGAATTTATAAAGTTGTTATAAAATGAACATCATTTTACAACATGCTTTTCCCACTTCACTGCATAAAATGTGCAATGGTGTGACATTAGTTCCGTGTCATCCCGTGCCTTGCAGAGTTAGTGACTCTAACAAATTCCTTCAGGTAAATGCATCACAACTGATTCAGGCACTTCCTAACAGTGAGTATTTAAGCCGTTCCCAGTTTATCATTATTATGAAGACCGTCTTCATACACAAATACGTTTCTGCATTTAGGATTGTTTCTTGAGATAGAGTTTCATACGTAGAAGGTCCATGTCAAAAGACAGGGGATTTGAGGACTCAACCTAAGAAGCCAGTTTAAATTTTAGAACCAGGGAACCGAAATATGTCCT